CCCCCCCCAGCAGCTCACAGCAGAGCTCAAACCAGGTTTCCAGGCTCCCCACTCTTCCCAGCTGCTACAATCTAAAACAGCTGATTCTGTTAGGCAGCTCTAACTTCCCTGGCGTGGAAAATGAATTGAGGTCCTGGGCTCTACTCATTCTGAAAAGAGTCATTTGGGAGTTTGCCCTCATGCTTCAAACTACATGCGCCCCTTATCCAGCAAACACAAGTTCCAAGGAGCAGCTGCATGCATGCATTGTATACTGAGCACGTCAGGAGCAACTGCACCAGGCACAGCCCTGCACTCCTGGAGTTTAGTGTCTCCTGACTCTGAAAACCTCCCATGGAAGAGCGCGGTGGACCCTCTGGGGCCAGCTGCACAGCATGACACAGATGGGCAGAGGCAGCAGTGGCTGGGGACACAGCAGGGTTTAAGGAGGTAGGTTAGAAGCCAGGACAGTCTGGGCTCAGGTGTGAGAAAAAGATCCAGATAAAACAGAGAAAGGAGAGAGGGGATTCCGGGCCTTATGTCAAGCATTTTCTGCTGCAAGGTCACCAGCCCCATCTTGCAAGGGCAGGAAGAGGCCTGAAAAGGAAATCCCAAGGGATGGAGTGTTGCCCAAGCTCACTAAAATGGGCAGGCTCAGCATGGGAGCAGGAGGAAGGAAGCTTAGTCCTGGCTGGGCTGCACTATGACCCGTTTGCCTGCCTGTGGCTGCCACTAGGCCCACTAGGCCAGGAGAGCCCCAGAGGGCAGGGGAGGCAGTGACTGCGCACTTGCTATATGCTTCACACGACGCACTCTCCTTGCATCTCACAGCAAAGCCACAGACTGAGTGTGCTCATCCTATTTGAATAAGGGAACTGAGGCACAGTGAGGTTAGGAAACTGGTTCAAGGTCACACAGAGCTGGTCTGTCCGACTCCTTCCAAGTCAACATGCTGCTGGGCCCACCTTCATGTTTGTCCCCAGCCTTTAGTCAGCATGGGGCATGGAAGGATGCCAGTCCAACACTCCAGCTTCATCTGTTCCCCACGCCCCTAATTTCCTGTCCATCACCTCAGCTCAAAGACCACCCCCCCCATGCCAATTCTCAGGGAGGCACAGAGCAACCGAAGCAAGCACCAAGGAGAGGCTGATGAGGCAAGGACATAGCAGGTGTCCACCCACTGCTGCATCCAGAGCAGAATGCATTTTCTGTTCAACCAGGAGGACACTGCCCCAACAAGCTTGGCAGGAGATGCCACTGAGGCCTGAGAGCCCTCTAGNAGGCAAGGACATAGCAGGTGTCCACCCACTGCTGCATCCAGAGCAGAATGCATTTTCTGTTCAACCAGGAGGACACTGCCCCAACAAGCTTGGCAGGAGATGCCACTGAGGCCTGAGAGCCCTGAAGGATGTCCTGTTCGGAAACTCTGCCTAGAAGCCCAAGGGGCCACTCTGGTGTTCTGGATGGAGGGGTCAGTATCCCCGTGGGCTGGGGCCCCTGCTGGCCTCACCATCCTCTGAATGGGGCAAGCTGGATGCCCAACATTGTGCATTGAAGGTTAGACCCTGGACATGGTCCAACTCAGATGAGTCCCTGACTGCCCCAGGCCCCAGGGCTTCAGGATCAGTGCCCCTTGGCAGAGCTTCCCCAACAGCACCCCCCTTCAGCACTTGGTCAGTTTGGTATAGAGCTTAGCAAGTGGCTCAAGTGCAGACTCTGGAGCAGGCCTGCTCAGATCCCAGCCACCACTTCCCCCTGTGGGGCCTGCGCAAAAGCTTCACCCCTCTGACCTCTGCTGCTCCTCTCTTAATGGGCTATGGCAACGGCAGCTCCCTCCTGGTAGTGTGTGTGTGGGGGGGAGCATAGGAGGAGATGTGCCCACAGTATTCAGCACAAGAACAGTCAACAAATGTCACTGTGCTTACTCACAGTCGGGTGGATCCAGTCTCCCACGAGGACCACTCTCAGGGCAGCCACTCCACCCCACCCCTACCCACCAAAGGCGGCTCACAGCCAAGGAGAGCAGAACCCTCCTCACAGTGATGGAGGGAGTTAGCACCAGCATCCCAAGGCCCAGAGTAGGCAAGTGACTTCTCCGAGGTCACACAGCTGGCATGGGTTCTTTCTTCCTGGGATGAGGAGGGTCATGAGCCCCCCTCCACTGACTCCTACCTATACAATCTCCCGCCTTCAGAGAGGTTGCCCATCTCCTCTGCCCCCTCCGGTCTCCCTGCTGCCACCCCATCGCCACGTCTCCCACAGGCTGCTCTGAGCTGAGCATTTGGTGCACTGTTGCTTGAAGGAGCCAGGGGCTCTTGAGCAGGGAGGTGGGAAGAGGGAAGAGTACCCCAGGGCAGAGCCAGCTCCCCCCATTCCCCATCATGTTAACTACCCCACTTGGAGGTCCTGGGGAGGATTCGGGGGTTGAACAGCCCATTGGCCACATTGTTGGAGGTGAAGATGATGACGTTGCCTTTGGTGTCTCCGAAGCAGAACACACCTTTGTGGTAGTCAGACCTGGGAAAGATGGAGACAGAAGAGGCCATGGAGTGAGAGGGGCGCCCCCGGCTACAGTCCTCACCTCCTCCCAGTGCTCCAGGGCCTGTGTCCATCGAGGCATGGAGGGCAGTGTTTGTTCTCAACAGCTGACAAACATGGGCCCAGCCACCCAGATCCAGACCATTGATGATCCAGGTCCAAAAGAAATGAGCATTTTTAAAAACCAAAATAAATGAATCCCTGGTCTGCCAGCTCTTTGTCAAGTCACCCCTCCTGCTGGGCTGTGGCGCATCCAGAGTCTTCACTCACAGTGGGACCAGCCTCGGCGCGGCTTTGGCCGCCAACTTGGTGGAAGAGAGGAAGAGGAGCCGACGACTCTGAGGTGTGAGTGGCCATGAGAGGGAACCCCGAGGGAGCAGGGGCCTGGAGGAAAGAGGGCACGGGCACGCAGGATGGGAATCTTTGCAGGGCTGCTTCCAGAGAGGCTTTCTGGGGTCTCAACCCCACCGAGTGATGTGGCCGCTGCCAAGGCCCTGCGCCGATCTCCTGTGAGACTCACCAGTAGTCCATAACCAGGGCGCAGCTGTCCAGGTCAATGAAGGTGAAGGCCCGGACACATTTATGATTACTAACATCAAAGAACTCTGGGAAGAGACAGAGGAGAGGCTCACATAGAACCCAAAGCCACGTCCCAGGCCTTAGGGTCTCTGGTGGCAAGGAGCAGTCGCTGCTCACCACCCTGCAATACCCCCACAGGACTTGAATCCATGCTCAATGTTGGCTCAGTGACAGATCTCTCCAGGTGCAGATGCATGACTCCCAGTGGCTAAGAGCAGGCGGGCAGCTGCCAGGGACTCACCTATCTTCTGGTCAGTGGATGCAATCGCAACTAGGTTCATGTTGTGGAGACACACCATGTCGATGACCCACATCTGCTGGTTTTGGAACGGCTGGATCTGGTTAAGCTGCCCACAGCAAGAGCAGAGGAGACCTGGGCTCAGGAGGCTGCCCCAGGACCCATCCTGCCACCCGAGGCCCTGGAGCCAGGCAGAGACCTGGGCATAGAGCTCAGCTACTAATGACTGTCAACTACTAATGATGGAATCTTGAATAAACTCCCTAACCATTCTGAGTCTCAGTTTCCACATCTATAAAGTGGGCTTAAAAAACTGATATCTTTACAACCCCTTTTTAGAACAGTTTGACAAGTTCATCAGTTTTAAATGTGCCATTTGTGATCCCGGGATCCATTTCCAGGACACAGCTATGGATGTGTTCACAGAGAAGTATATGCAAGGGACACTACCCAGACATTCACAGTGAGGGAGCTGTGTACATACTAATGAAGAATAGTTGCCAAGATACATTATTAAGAGAGAAAGCAAGGTGAAAACAGCATTATAATGTGCTACCATTTGTATACTTAGAAAGGGGGTAGTGTATGTGTAGGCTGTCCATGGAAGAGCACCCCAAAACTGGTCACAGCAGTTGCCTCCTGGGAGAGGAATTAGGGTCTGGGGGAGAAAGACTGACTTTCCACCATCTGCCCCCCTGTATGCCTGAACCTTTTCCCCCCAGTTTAAATGAGATATAATTGGCATATAACACTGTGTTAGTTTTGTTTGTTTTGTCTGAATCTTGTTTACCACCTGCTGGTGTCACCTGACCAGCATGGCTTATTCTGGATAGATGGTCCTGCCAGGCTGTGAGGAATGAAAGGAATCGTGAAAGCTAAACCATCTGGTGTGCCCAGCACTTGGTAGGGGCGTGGCAGGCTTGGGAGCCCTTCTGTGCTCTGATGCCAGCCTCACTTGATACTATGCAGACAGAATTTGAGCCGGCACTCCAGGCGGGGGACACCACGAGCAAAGGCATGTCAGCAGAAATGAACTGCTGTGTCCAGGAAAAAGAGGACCCGGCCCGACAGGCGTGGGTGGGAGGAGATAGGAGACGACTTGGGGGGCCAGCTAAGGAACTTGTATTTTACTCCCTGAATAACAGCACAGGCTCTGAACTGAAGAAAGAAGAGAAGGGTTCCATCTGGGAAAGAGGGAAGGGGCGTTTTAAGGCAGTTCCTGTGGGTGTATATTTAGGAGGGACAGCAAAGGCAGAGGCTGGAAGCAGAATGTTCCGACAGAGCTCAGAGCCAAGACCAGAGGCCTGTGCTACCAGCTGGGGCAGTGAAGACAATGGGCCAGGGCTCCCCTGAAGGCCCCTCTTGCCCAGGGCTGGGATCTAACCTACACACAGGGAAGTGACAATAACACCCATCACTTATGGTCAGAGGAGAGACCATGATTCCTGATTTCTAGGGAGTTTCAGTGACCTGCCTGAGGTTGCACAGCTCGAAGGTGAAACCCAGACTCTGCCCCATCCCAGGGCTTTCCCTCTGCATGATGGTGGATATGCAGCTGATGGTCATGGACAGGGCCTGGCGACTCACTCCTGACAACATCTACTTGAAAGCAGCCCCTCGAGGAAGAATGCCCTGGTCTCCTGGGCCTTCCAGGAGAGCCTCCCTCTGTACTTCTCAGCCCTCCCGGGCTTTGGCCCTTGAGGAGCACGGAGGTGGCTATGTAGCAGCCACAACCAGGAGCTCAGGCTATAACGTGCCCCCTCCCCCAATAAAAGCACAGAGAAAAAGCAGGTGGAGTGTGCCCAAAACTCCAGCCTCAGGAACACAGTATGAATCCCCCTTGGTACTGGGCTACTAAGAGCACCCAGGAGTGTTGCTGGATCTCCCCAGGCTTTAGTTCCCACCCTAAACAACTGGGAGACAGTGGGGGGAGACTATCTAGAATCCCCCTGCCTCAAGGCATAACCCCTGATGCAACTGTAAGACCTGCTGCCATTACACGGGGCTGATAAAAGCCCTCATGCTGCTGGCAGCACCTCAATAAGCCTTCATTTTCCCGAGAGCTGTGCCTTTGTTACTTGCGAGACTGGCCTGACGACACAAGTACACAGTGGGTTTGCTTGAGTGTTTAATCTCTCACTGCGCTTGGACAGAAACTGACAGCACAAAGACAATAACGATGACAGCGTATGTTCATCAGGCACTTGCTGTGTGCCTTGCCCTGCTCCAAGCACCATGCATGCATTATGTCAGTAAACCCTCCCACTGCCCTGTGAGCAAGTACTATTACTACCCCATCTGACATGAGGGAAATGGGGCATGGAGAGCTCTATAGTATTTGGTCCAAGGTCACAGAGCTGGAAGGTGGTGTGTTGGGGTTCTAAGCCGGGCAGTCGGGCTCCAGTGGCCAGGCTCACAACCACTGTGATTACCTGCCCGGTCTGGGCAAAGGATCTGAATCAGCAGGATTTGGTGATTGTGTGGGTGTAACAAAGAAAGGAAACGGGGCTGATCTCCAACCCAGGAACGTTTCATTGAGATGGGGGCACAGAAGAAGCCTGGTGGGCAGGAAGGGCTACAGTGACATTCACTTTGGACAAACTGGGTTCAAGGTGTCTGCTGGACACCCAAGTAGAGTGGACATGCAGGTGGAATCTTGCTTACAGAGGAGGAATATGAGGCTCACAGTCCCACAGTGAAGCCAGAACCAGGACCCAGGAGCTGTGACTGCAAGTGAGGACTGCAGAGTCCACAGGCCCCAAGAGGGAGCCCGCTCTGGGCCCAGGGTGTGGAGGCAGAGGCTCTCTGACCACCCCATTCATGCTCCACATGTGGGCCACACTCACCCTAAAGGAGCTGATCAGAGAGAAGGACTCCGACCAGAACTGCAGGATCCCGTCCTTGGTGACAGTCAGGAAATTCCCAATCTTCTTGAACCGCTGGATTAAAAACTCCACTTTCACAACCTCGCACCCATGATTCCTGTGGGAGGTGATGAGAGAGAGGAGAGTCCAACCAAAAACAGAACAAAGACACAGAGGAGGAAGAAAACGCCAGCGGGAGGTGACTCACTCGCATGCGCGCACACATGGACGCTACTGACACACTCTAGCAGGCCCCACGAGACCTGGGACTCTGCCCCTCCTCCGAGCAGATTGCCACCATTATCAAAAGCGGCCAAAAGGGAAAGAGACCCATGTATGATGCTGGTATGAGAGGGGGCTCCCCAAGCAGTAAGCCTCTCCTGAGAAAGAGCCAGTCAACCTCCTCATCATGGGCTGGGGCAGATGAGATGGAGAACAGAGGCTTTTGCAAACCTTTTGTTGGAAAAATGGCCCACAGAAGGCGAGTAGAGTAGGGCCTGTGACTGAAAACTGTATAACAACATTGATTCCAGCAACTGCTCTAGTGCTCCAAGGTGGAGAGGGGACTAGCACCCAAGAATGAGAGAAAAGTGGGCGAGAGGGCTACGAGAAATCAGGGCCCCAGGCACACAGTTCTTCATCTCCAAGGACATCCCCTGAGCTCAGCAGACAGCTTCTGGGGCGGGCCTGGCCTCACAGGCAGCCGCACTCAGCCTTCCCGCAGGCCTCAATGCTGCCTCCAGCGGTTCTTTCCTGTCCCAAAGTTGACTAAGCCAGCTACCTGACAATTAAAGGGCACCACTATTTTGACCTCCCAACACAGCACATGCTCTCCTATTTGATATACCCACACTTCTGGGCCCCAGCAAGGCAGGGACCCAGGGGATAGCCATGTGCTTGGAATTATGTCCTGGTTACCAACAGAGCTGGAACTAGAGCCCAGGCAGGCACTTTGACCCCCACTCCAGCCACAGCCCTTTCAAAATGACATGTCCGGTGCCTTAAAAATAACCCCGTCACTGTGAAATTCTACTGCCTTACCATCCCTGCAGGAGAGGGAGGGAGGTGCTGTTCTCTCCCGCATGCTCTCAGCCCACAGCTCTGTCCAGACCCTCACGAATATTATGAGTCTCCCCTCTAGCTGTCGCCTCCAGTTCTGCCTCATCTGTCAGGGCCAAGAGAGTGTGAGGAACAGACAGGACAGGTGAGAGCTACGAAGTGAGGCGAGCCCTGGGAACTGTCACCTCACGGAGTCTTGGTCTCCTCATCTACACAATGGCAGCACCTCCGCCTCCTAGGACTGCAGTGGGACCAAGATGGGGCATTTGGCGAGTTGAGCCCATGCTTGAGGCAGGTCAGCCAACCTTTAAAAGCTACCCTTTCATGCAGGTAAGAAAACATTATTTGGCTATTTTCTCCACCAAGCCAGAAATGTTCCCTGGGTTTGAGGTTGGGCATATAAACAGGGGAACATAGGGCACGCTTCTTGACATTTTTGGGTCAGGCCTTTTGGGTACCGCTGGGAATTCAAGTGTCCCAAGGAAATAGCCCTGTTCAGACCCGCCCTTCCAGCCCGGGGAGAGGCTCCTTACAGGGGGATGATCCTCATGGGCAGGTGGAAGCGCAGGTGGTACTGGTTCTTCCTCATCAGCTCCTTTCCCTGGAACTCACGCATCATATAATCCACACAGTGCGACTGCCTCGGGAAGGAGCGCAAGGCAGGGAGGGTGTTGGCCCGACGGTCTGAGCGCTGGGCTTTGGGAACCCCGCTCAGCTTCCAGTATTCTCCCCATCTCTCCCAGCCCCTTCCAAGGGGCTCTGGGAGACCCCCTCCCTCTCAGCCTGGCAAAGGGAAGTAGCCTAGCAACAGAGCTACTCTTGGATCTGAACTCCGCGAGGGGCTTATTGGCAAGTGTCTGTGAAGGGGGCACAGCAGCTTCCCTCCCTAAAGCATTTCTGTCATGTTGGTCAGCGAGCTCCGACCTTTCTCATCCTATGGCACCAGAAGCTAATTACTAAAATTCTGCGGCACACCAGAAAATGTAGTTTTTGCCCATCTGACGAAAAAAAAATAGGTATAATTTTGATTTGTTCACACCAGATGGCTATTGTTGTGTTGACTGTTATTTTATTTGACAATCTAAGGGAAAGAGGGCAGTGCCCCTGACTAAATAGTCAGGTACTGCGTGTCTTAAAAACTTGCGGCACGCTGGTTGAAATCGCTGCGCTGTGTACACCTTCACATCACTCCCACATCCGGCGTCTCAGCTGAGTCTGCTCACTCAACCCTACTTTATGGATAGCAAGACTGTGCCCATCTAAGTAGAGATGAGTTGCCCCAGATCATCTATCGCATTAACTGCAAGGAGGCCCCGTGCGCGCCCACTGGGGCAACTCTGGGCTCTACTGTTAGGCCTCATGAAAATATGGCCAAGGCCAAAAAGGGCCACCCGGTAAAGCTACGACAAGAAATAGGGAGTTATTAAGAAATATCATTGTGTTGATGGCAGAGAATGCTGGAAACATGTTTATAACATAATATTAAGGGAAATGAAGAAAAAAAGAAAAAAAAAGACCCAGAATGTACTCCTAAGCCCAGGGGGAGGAATGATGGAGCAGTTAACACATGGGCTCCTGAGGCAAACCCCCTGGGTCTAAGACAGGCTCACCCGCTAACTAGCTCTGTAACCCCAGGCAAGGTTCTTAACATCTCTGTGCCTCAGTTTCCCAACCTGTTAAGTGGAGGTAAACAACAGCACCCACCCCATGGAGTCCTGTAAGGTTTACGTAAAAGTGCTTAGCACAAAGGCTGGTGTGAACACCAGTTATCAGTGTCATCATGGTGACATCAACATGACAGGCTGTCTTTCTGTACTTTCCTGTGTTCTGGGTTCTTAAATGCCGTAGAGTATATGGTCATTGTAGAACATTTAAAATCAGAAAAAAGCAAAAGCATTATTTTTAAGAGGTCCTAAAACCTGACTTATTTATTTTTATTAACAAACACAGATTTGCCTGTTCCTGAGTGACCATAAAGGGCCATGAGATGGTTGTGGCATTGGCTAGGATCCTGAGCTGGACGGGAGGCTGGCTCAGTCCGTCTCAGGCAGGGGCCACGGACATTTGTCTTACACTCTCCTGAACCGCAGGAGGGGAGTGAGCTGTGCTGAGCCCTCAAAAGTCTCAGGAGGACCCCCTCAAGGACTCTGAGGTTCCCAGAATCCACAGGAGGCTTTCTGATGTTGCCCCCATCTTTAACTGAGCATCCAAGGCCTGTGCCCTCCAGCCTCCCTATGGCTACCTGAGGCAGCAGGGGAGCCCTCCTCACCCAGGTGATGAAGCCATTACAGTGTATGTCCACCTTCAAAAACAGCGCCTCTAGCATCTTCTCTGACACAGTGCTCAGATTCCCCTTCATGGCTTTAATGAAAGCCACCTTGTCCAGGGCTTCAAGAGAGAGAAGAAAGAATACTGTCTACTCTGTCACAACCCACCACCGGCCTCAGCCCTCCTGGGTGTCTGGGTGCTAAGGGGGGACCCAGAGGATCCCATGTGCCGGGTTATCTGTTGCATCATTTGTTTAACATCCAATCACCCCACAAACGCTGTCTGCACACCTTCCATGCAATAGCACCATGTTGGCCCCCACTGCTGGGGGCGGGGGAGGTGTATTAAAAAAGATCAGATCCCATTTCTCAACACGTAAGACTGACCAGGCATCGAGATGAAGAAAACTGATTAAAAATTTAAAAAAAGGGGGATGCCCAGCCAGGCATGGCTCAGCGGTTGAGCGTCGACCTAGGATCCAGGCGATCAGGGTTCGATTCCCGGTCAGGGCACATGCCCGGGTTGCGGGCTGCAGCTGGTCAATGACTCTCTCATCATTGATGTTTCCATCTCTCTCTCTCCCTCTCCTTTCCTCTCTCTGAAATCAATAAAGATATATTTTTTTTTAAAAAGGGGGGGGAGAAAAACAAAAGGAAATAATGGCAACGAAGAGACATAAATTCAAACATACAGAGGGAGAGGTGAAGTGCATCTTTAAAGGCAATTAAAATACAAACTTTGGCTGGAGGGAAAGATGGGGAGGGAGAGAAGGCAGGGATGAAGTATCTTCAGTGCTAAGTTTGTGGCTCTAAGGGACTCTGTCTGCAGATGAGTCAATAACCTCTGTTTAGGTTTTTTAAAATAATCACAGTATTTATAAAATGCTTCTAAAACCCCCTCCAAGTATTTGGAGTCCTTGCCCTGGCCTGAAGGCCACGCATCACCCCGCTTCTCTCACCCACACCTCCAGCCGCTGTCCCCAGCATTCTCTGCTCCAGCACGAAGGCCCCACACTGATTCTCACACCAGAGCACACTCCCACCTGAGGGGCTTTGCACTGTCTGGTTCCCCCACAGGGAAGCCTTCCTGAGGACTAAGGAGGTCCCTCACCCCCACATCCGGCTCTACTCTCCTCCAGCCCATGAGCTCCAGGAGTGCAGGACTGAGCCTCTCCCTCCATGACTGGGTCCCCCAACTGTTTCTGTGAGCACTAGGATGTGACAGCGATGATACTGGGCGCCAGTCTCATCTGTGTTTATTCATGCTGACCACCTAATGAGAGGGCTCCTGAGGAAACTATGGCACAGAGAGGTGAGGTCCCACACCCAAGTCTCGCAGCTGGGAAGTGGTAGAGCCGAGGCTGAGCCAGCAATCTGGCTCCAGAGGTCCTGCTTTCACCCCACTCTATGCTCCTCATGAAACACCCAGCACAGTGCTACAGCCATGATTATTATTTACTGGTAGATGGAGGAACAAATGAAAGCCTGAACAAAACGTGTCCTGCTTAAAGAAGGGTTCATCTCATTTACCTGGAGCTAGAGCCAAGAGGCTCAGGCATTTTGAGTGGCACTTCAGGGTCCTTCCGCGTATAACATGGACATCAGATGACAGTCCATGAGCTACAGCCTTCCCCTCGGGACAGGGCCGGGAGTCAAAGTGCCTTTGTGCAGTGTTTAATAAACACACTCCTCAAGAGGGCACTCCAGGGATCAAGTCCTTTCCCAGTGTTTCAGAAACAATGGATACTGCTCACTGCCGTATTATTTTAATATACCTCTTCTCACAGTCTACCACATTTTGTTTTTTAGAAAAACCAGAGAGTAAACACAAAGGTATTTTAGAAAGGAAATGTACACAGCGGGGGCCAGGAAAGACCCCTGCTCATCGCCTCTGAAAGGAAGCACTCACCCATCTCCTGGCAAACTGTTAATCGAAAGCTCTCAAAGCTTGAATGTGACAATATCACTTCCCTGGGGAAGGGGTCACTATTAGGATCAGGCAGGAGGGAACTTTGGGGGGGGGGGCTCCCTGACTTCTGCCCGCCCACTCCACTGAGCCACCAGTGATCTGGAACCACATCCGACCATGACTTTCTTGGTCTTGGAGCCTCCTCCCAGTGAGCAGGGACCCCACCGGCCACTCCTGCCTCCCTGGGCAGCTCTGTCTCCTGTCTCCTCCAGGCTCTGTTGCCTGCCCTGCCCTGTCATTCTGTGTCTGCCTCTTCTCATCACTGTCCTTTGCTTTACTGCTTGAAGCTCTCTTGAATGACCTCATCTATTCACCCATCTCTACATCCCAGGAGAGGATTTCTCTCTATGTCCCTGACTCTATTTCCAAGTGTCCCCCCTGGCCTCTCCAATTCATGTTTAAAATCTAACTGATCTTTATCCCCAAACTTGCGCTCTTTTCTTGTGTTTACCATATTTGCTAATGGTATCACTTCCCCCGAGTCACTCAGGCTAAAAAACTGAGGCAGGTTCTCAATGACCTCCCTCCTAAATCCTCATAAGAATCCTATGATCCGGGAATGGAGGTCCTGTCATTCTCCCCATCACACAGGTGAGGCCACAGAGGGCACTGAGCAGCTCGGGGATCTGTCTAAGGCACACATTTGCACAGCGGGATTTGAAACCAAAGCCCTCCCTCCTCATCATGATCACTACCCTCCGTAGGGCTGGGACTCTTACAACCAAGCCCTCTCACATCCACCCAACCTCCTCAACAGGTCTAGATGTGTCACCTTCTCGTCAACCCCACTGCTAAAGTTCAGGGTCCCTCCTGACCTGATCACCCCTCCATGACCCCCTTCCTCCCCGCCTTGCCCCAGGACACCCCTCCTCCCTCTAGTGCTGCAGCTCCCCTGTGCCTCTCCTCTGCCATTGCCTTCCTGGAAGTGCTCTCCTCCCTGTGTCCTGGGAAACTCCTGCTTCACCTTTCCAGGCAGGTTTCTAGCCATTCACATGTCTATTCTCAAGTGCCCCCCCTCCTACTCCACCCCCAGCCCCTTCTCTTCCTTCCTCTTTCTTTGTTTGTAATGCCAAGGGGTAGAATTATGGACTACTTTCATACACTATAAGCATTTTTTTAAATAAATACTGTGTGAAAACTATTTAAGGAAAAAATGTTGTTTCCTAGCCTCCCCTCTGCCCTGGGGGAAATAAGCACGTGCTTCACAAGGATTCCCAGAATGCAATCACAGAGCTGGGCTGCGCAGTGTGGCCACACCCTTCCTTCACCTTCTCTGGTATGTGGGGGGCTACACAGGGTGTGAGGGGCCCAACAAAGCACAGGCTCTGGTGTCAGAGGCCCCAGGCCACTCCATTTGGGCATGTTGTTGATATGTGTGAGCAAAGAAAGGCCCCAGGCTCCTCAATATATGCACCAGGACACCAATACCAGCTCTGCAGAACTCCATTGAGAACCAAATAAAATCCAACAGAGGACTTTATAACCCACAAAACTCTGTCCCAACACTGATTTTTCTCATGCCTGGCAGTGCTGGGTAAAACGTCTACTGGGGACACTGTGCCACTGATGTCCACCCGGGAGCACCTGCACAGAAGGTAAGATCCATGCTGGCTCCAGGCATAGGGCTGCAGGGCCCCCAGCCCAGTGCTAATCCCCCAGCCCCTGAGCAGCCTACGGGCTCCCCCAAGCAGGCCCGAGGGGGTGCTTGGGCTGTGGGCACATGAACACTATCAAAACCTCCCAAAGACAGGAGGGCACTCCTCTTAATGAACCACAGACCCACCTCAAAGACCTCGGTTCAACCGACAGAAAAACTAAGGCTGGGAAAGGGAACTTGCAGAACAGGGAGGAGAACCCTGTCCTCTCCCTTTTCCACGAGGCAGGCACAGTTGGTCAGGGTTCCCGAGAAATGGCATCAAGCCCATGCTCAGAATCCATCTGTTTTAAAGACTTTGAAAGGAAAAATCGATTCTATTTTCTTTTACCTGACATCAGCTAAAGCTGAATTTTCCTTTCCTTCATTTAAAACCATGACCAGTTATTTTTAAATGAGGAATCTCTTTTACATTGATATGAAAAGATTACCAAGATATAGTAGGTAAAAAGCAACAGAAACTTTAGTACAATTATTTTTTTTAAAGCAAGGAGCAGACAATTGAGGGGATCCTTTTACAATGTATACCAGTATCAAAACATCATATTGTACACATTAAATGTATTATAATTTTATTGGCCAATTACACCTCAATAAAGCTGGGAAAGAAAAAAAACCAAGGAGTAGAACAGTGTGGGCTGTAGGCCACCACTGCATATAAAAAAAGGGGGAAGCGACTATACCCACTTCCGTGTTTGTCCAGCAGAGGGAGACAAATCTCTGTATAACAAAAAGGTATGGGAAAGTTTATTTTGAATTCTGAACTGCATGACTCTTTTACGTATTCAAAACAAACACAATCAAAATCGTGGCCAAAGTGGCACTGGCGGGGTCCTCCAAGACACAATGGTGGCAACTCCTGGCTGCCAAGCACAAACACAGAAGAAGAAATCCAATTAGGAATCATCTCATCTTCAGGTCAGACACAAATGGTCCCTCCCCAGCCTCACTTTGCTTATTTGTAAACTGGGGATGTGTTATCCTTTCCTGCCCACATCACAGTGTGGCTGTAGAACTCAAAAGAAACTGATGGGGCGAGTAGACAGGGCCCCAGCGTTGGTGTTCATAGTTTAGTGTATATAAATAAGTGCCTTTCAGTATTCCTGTTACTTAACTTTATGTGTGTCATCCCAAGGCGGAAAAAATCAAGGTGTGAAGGGAGAAAACACTTGATACACAGAGGATGTTCTTCACAATGTTATTTAAACTCAATAAGACCCAAATATCCAAATATAAAGGAACAGCTTGGTCAACCAATAGAACACTTGTGTTCATTAGTAATGATGGTTTGGAAGACCACACAACTGTATGAAAAAGCCCTTAAGGTATCAACATTAAGAGAAAGAGGAGGGTCTAGCATTATATATATATTACAATTACAGACATGTAGAAATACACATAGCCATATGTGGCAGAAGCCCTGTGATGCCCGCCTCCTAGTGTTCATGCCCTCCTGTGATCCCCTCCCCTTGAGTGTGGTGGGACCTGTGACTCTTCTAACCAATATGGCAAAGGTGATGGAATGTACAGGACCATGTGCACATGGTTACATGACTATGCTGTAAGACTGCAGCACCCATCTTGGTGGAGTTTCTATCTCCCTAGCTGGCTTGAACCTTGAAATCAGCCATGTTGGAGAATCCCACATGGCCAGGAACTGTAGGCAGCTCTAGGAGCTGAAGGCAGCTTCTAGCCAACAGCCAGAAAGAAACAGAAGCCCTCAGTCCTGCAACTGCAAGGAGATGGATTCTGCCAACAGCCGGGATGAGCTCAGAAGTGGATCCTTCCCCAGTCAAACCCCAGATGACAGCACAACCCCAGCTAACATCTTTACTGCATCATAGTGAGAACCTGAGCAGAGGAGCCAGCTAAGCTGTGCCTAGACTTCCCACCCACCAAAACTGTGAACTAATAAATATGTGGTAGTTAAAGTCAGTAAGTTTGTGGGAATATTCTTGAGCAGCAATAGATAAGCCGTACGTATAAAATTGTTTGGAAAAAAATATATCAAAATGCTGTCCAGCGTTTACATTTAGGTGTTTGGATTAGGGATATTTTTTCTAGGTCCCAAATAGCCTCCAGTATGTTTATAATACTTATATAACAATAAGAAGTTTTAAAGGAGACAATGGATGCAAAAATACTTGTCAACTCTGAACCCCCCACACATCACAGGGGGGTCCCACCCTGTGTAAAAGCCAAGAGACTAAGCCCACAATGCAGCTTTACCTCCAGTCGAGTTTACGTTGTCCTCAAATATTTTCTCCATTATGGCCAGGTGTAGCTCCGTGAACAGCTGAGACTCATTTTGGAAGTCAGATATCTGGCTAAGGGTGACGGATGGTGCCAGGGATCTATTTAGGGGGGACAACTGGAACAAATATGACAAGAACGGGGACTGAGAAGGTTGATTTCCTGCCCTGGACATTTCTAAGCTCGTCTTATTGAAAGGGAGACCCTTTGGGGAAGGACAGGGCGTGTGGTGTTACCGTGTGTGACTAAGTGATGCAAACAAGTTTTGGCCACTTTCAGACCTAGGAAGACCAAGGAAGATCTAAACTGCTTCTCCTGACTTTGGCAAGTTCCCCTTTTACAGATGCCACAACTGATGCTCAGCGAGATTAGCAGACACAGCCAAGGTCCTACCTCACACATAACAGGACTCTAATTTATAAGGTGCTTCAGTTCAGTAATCATATTGTTTCAAATCTTCAGTAGTCAAAAATTCAAGACCCCAAGGGATCGAACTCCATGTTCCCCAGACAATTTGATGCACTCTGACTAGTCCAAACACCCCCCTGGGTCAGCTCATGCAGACCCCTCCATCAGGGGCTTGCAGCTTCCTGCTCCTACTCACCTTCCTAGATCCCCTTCCCACCCCTCTATCCCTCAACAATCAACAATGCTCTCTCTTTAGATCCTACACGTGACTCATTCTGACACTTGGCACAATGCTTCAGGTCACTAAAGGCTCAGGTCCTCAAAGTCTGCCTCCCCCAAAAGACTGCAGGTGTGGACTATGACCCAACACTGCTGAGGGCTGCTCACCAAGACACGCTGCTTTGGGCTCAGGAAGGCTGGTGGAGGCTGGAGCATTCATTCCCCCACCCCCAGCCCCGTCAACCGGGCAGAACGCTCATCTCCTGTGCACGTTCATCCATTCACTCATCGTCTACACACACCTGTTGAGTGCAGGGCACACAAATGGACAGAATGGAGACCTGCCTTCATGGAGCCAGGCAGATGAGCTAGTTAATGCTCTCACCAGCCATGCAAGCTCTCCGATTAGAAATCTGAGCACCATCTTTGGCTAGTCCCTCTTCTTCCTGTGTGTTCTTACTGTCCCTCCTATTAGTCCTGGGATCCTTCTCCTACATCTAAACCCTCCTCGCACACATCCCTGCCCCACCCTGAACCCTGGCCTTTTGCTGGAAGAAGGACAATGGCCTCCACTAACTGGGACAAGAGTTTGGCCTTCCCTCTCAATCCACCTCCCAACACTGGCACCAACCATCCTTCTGGAAGGCAAATCTGATCATCTCTGACAGCTTCCAGGCTACTCCTACCCCCTCCAACTACTGAGTGTGGCATTCAAAGCAAGGCAGCTCTGACCTGTCTTTCTAGCTTCAATGCACACACCATGGTCCAGGCACGCCAAGGGCTCTCCAACATCCCCAGACACAAGCATTCCACTTTTACTCACACTGTTCCCTCTATGTAATACCAACCACCTCACCCAGAGGTGACCTCCTCCCCATTCTTCAAAGTCTGGCTCAAATGACACCTCCTCCAAGGAGTCACCACTACCACCTCTGTGCTCCCAAACTCTTTGTCCATATCTCCCATGCATGTGTGATACTAGTGAATCTGTCCATGCATGTAGACAGCAAGGGCTAGAATTCTGCCTGGCTCCCTACTTCCAAGCTAATTATCTTGGGTATATTACATCACTTCTCTGAGCCACAAGTGTCTTCACTGGCAAAAGAGATCCACAATACTCAGCTTGCAGGGTTGTGGTAAGACTGAAATGACATCCAAACACATGCAAAGCCCCAGCAAACTGCAGTCATACAATAAATGGTAGCTCCTGTTATTACTCCTCTCCTAGTGAGCTCTTTGAAAGCAAGGGCTTATTTATCTTAATTTCATCTTAATTTAATTTATACCTATTATCTCTATAATTCCCCAGTCCCGAGCACATAGTAGACACTAAATACTTATCTGGCTTGATAGTAATTTGTACAGCCCATCACACCATTATCATAACTAGGCTGAAGAGAATTGAGTTTAGTCAGTGGAGAGGCTGCCGTTGGAAAGCCTCAGATTCGCTGCATTTGGTCCATGCAGTGCTTTAAAAGGAAAACCAGCCTCCCTCAGCACACGCTTCGGTTACCTATCAGCCTTGTAAATATCTGAGTCTGCAAATCCTGGCGAGAGACTGGTAACCGAAACAGACTTCTATTCCATTCTATGCTGACGAGCGATGTTGGGTGGCTCTGGAACACCCCCTCCCGTCACCAACTCTGATGATTTCCTTACCTCTTGAGGTTGAGGACTCTCTTCTAAGTCCTCAGAAGATACTGGCCTTGACCTGGAATAGGGAACCATCGTCACTTTAACTCGTCTTTGTAAGGGCCCTGTGGGAGGCTGGCGTAGTTGGGTCGCAGGAAGGGGGAAAGGAAGTCAGGGTCAAGGCAAGGGGTGGCTGCGCCATGTCCACGGACACCCCAGCATGCACTAGGTGAGCATCCCTTTTCCTGCAGGGGCTGCTCCGGCAGGAAGCTTTTCCAAGCTTACACCTGAGTTTTCTTTCCCCTGATGGAAAAGGGTTGTCCTACTGAAACCCTGGGGCTTCTCAAGTTACCATACTCCTGGCTTAATGCCAGGGACTTCCTAAAAGGGGTCACCTATTTTACAGAATTAGGAAAGGCTTAGGAGGCCATGAGGTGGCCCGACTACAATTCACAGATTACAAAAACAAGGTCCAGTGGCAGGCCTGTGTCCAAAGGGTCAAAGACATGCGCCAGAGGGGAAGCAGGCCGGGCTTCTGACCTTCCACTTCCTACACCCCGCACCCGCCCTCTGCTGCCCTCAGAGACAGGACTTCGAGAGAGAGGTGACAGATCCCCTTGCACAGTAGCAAAGTGTTAGGGGAGAGTGTGTAGGAGAGGTCTGTTCCCTGGAGCTCTGCTCTGAGAATATAAACGACATGTTTCCACTGGGTCAGTGGCACCTCCACAGAAGATGGAAGACAGTGAGTTCACCTCTTTAGCAAGTCCCACCAGCAGGAATGGAGAGGGTGCCTCTAGGATGGCAGGGGGAATGGCGAGGGAAGAGTGATGCCCCACACATGCTCAGTACAGAGCAAATTAGCCAGCGTGGCTTGGCAAAGGGCTCCTCAGGGAGGGGAGGAAAGAGTGGGAGAGACGAGAAAGAGAAAAATGGAAGTAGAACGTAGCATTTTAAATTACCTCGCCAGGGGGGCGGATGAGAGGCAATCACGAACATTCGTCAGCTACGACGGGACAGCGGTGTCCTAACCTAACAGTGTCCTGGCAGCAGCTCACATGTAAGAACCAAAGGAGAGAGGTGAGCCAGAGGAAAGATGTGGAAGCCAAGAACCAGGGTAACGGAGGGAAACGCCAGAATCATTTCTAGAAAAGGGAGCAAAGAGGGAAAGCGGCCTAATGCATGCTATGCCGAATTGTCCAATTAGAAATAAAAAGCAAATACCTGGAAATATGGGGACTGAAACTTGAGGAGTGGCTACATTTAGGAGACAGAAAGAAGAAAAACACAGGACAGGATGTCAGCTAGGAGGACAGGATGCTTCAGAGTGGGTTAAGATGGTAAGAAAATGAAAAGGCCACTGAACATGGCCATTAAAGGTCACCAGTGAAAAAAGGCTGCAGCTGTGGATTTGTAAGTCCATTTCCGTTAAGCACATATTCGAGTGTGTGTTAGCACAAGTACAGAGAGAGCACCTGGAAAATTATGCTCCATGTGTAATGGCAGTTATTTCTGGCAGGTGAGATTACAGGTTTCTAAATCTCATTATATTTTTTACTTCCAAAAATGTCCATGGCCACCTTTAAAATTTATTTCAATGGTGGGTGGCGATTGAAATTACTCATGTGTGAAAGACCACTGTACAAGAGTGGTTGCTGAAACATTGTTCATAGTGGCAAAAAATGACGTGAATGGCTATCAGAAGAGGGATGGCTGAAAGCTCAGTACACTTGTACTGGGAACATTACCCAAGCATGCCAAAGGATGAACCTGGCCTTCAGCAGACGGCTGAGGGATTTCCATGAGACACGAATAACTAAGAGTGCACGTATGATGCCAATTTTTACAAAAGAATGCAAATAGGTATGTGTTTATACATATTAGAATACCATATACACACAGACATACTACGTTTGTAAACAGGATTACCCTTAATAATTATGGGACCAAGGCAAGAGAATGTAAGTCCACATAGCAAGTCTCATCACTTTATTTAAGTTAATATACTATTAAATAAAATATTCTCTTCTCCTACCTTGACAAAAGCACTTTCAAAACAACCTGGAAGACCAGTTTCAAATTTAGAATTCTTGAAACTCCTCAGCTCAATGCCAGAAGTTGCGGTGTGGGGAGAGGCAGCCACCAAGCCCTCTGCCCAAGCCCATGCTCTCTGTCCTGCTCAAGAGGCTTGGACACCCCAGTCCACACCCCCAGCTGCACTTCCCTGTTGCCTCTCCACAGCCACAAGCCTAAGGAGGGTTGCCTCAAAGCTGATGCACTGGGAAGCAGACCCCACAGACCCTGGCATCAGGTTCAAAGCCAGTTAGCCAGGAAATTCCAGTATTTAGAGCAGTGGGGGAGAGGAGCCTCTGGGTGGCCATGTCCTCTTGGCCCCTTGGACTCTTCAATAGGTGGAGAGGGATATGGCAAGAGGGTCTACAGCCTTCCTGCCTGGGTCTAAGGGAGGGACGGTACTGTTGCTATGTTCAAAGTCATGAGTACAGAGAAAAACACGAGCGAACACACTGGGGAATTGAAATGGGTTATAGGGAGTTGGGGGCTAATGTGGCAAAAGGTGGGCAAAGAGTAAAGAAGTGCAAAAAGTCTGCACTACCCAAAGGCAGAGGTAGCATGACATTTATGGAAAGCATGGGTACGTTTTGAAGAAAACAAGCATGTTTTGTTTTGCTTTAAAGTCTCAACAATTAAAGTAACACCACCAATGAGGGAGCAAAAGGTCACTGCATCATCCTGGTGGCCACACTCAGGACCCATCACTTGGGTGGTATTACTGACAAACATGAGTAGCCTGAATCAGATCAGGAGAAATTAGACAAACCCAAACTGCAGGCCATTCTACAAAATAGCTCGGTTTTACTCTAAAAATGTCAGTGTCATGAAAAACAAAGGCTAAGGAACTTAGTCCTAAATTAAAGGTGACTACAGAGAGGCAACAACTAAAGGCAATGAGTGATTCTGAATTGGATCTCAGACTGGGGCAGGGGGGTGTCTAAGGGCCATTAGGACCATCGGACTCCGCATTCTCAGATAATACTGAATTAACATTCCCTGCTTTTTACCGCTGCACTGTGGTTATAAGGGAATGTCCCTGTTGTTAGGAAATATACACTTCGGCATTTCAGGGTAAAGAGGCAGCATCTAATTTATTCCTAAATGGCTCAACAAACATATACAATGACAAAACAAATGTGGCAAAATGTTCACAATGAGTTAATGTGGGAAAAGAGGAGTTCTTTACACCATTCTTACAACTATTAAGAAAATGCTAATTATTTCAAAACTAAAAATCTTATGAGAAATGTGTTTAACTGGAAGAGAGAGAACTCTGTTCACAGTCTGAGGCAACAAGCGGAAAGACATACTGGTGGAGGGCAACAGAGATACCCAAGATACTAAGGAAAAGGCTAAGGAGCAGCGAGAAGTGCCGATCTTTGGACACGGGCGAGAAGGAAACTTCAGATGCAGAATTAAGTTTCTACTTAGAACAAGAACAAGTAAGATCAGGGGGAGCCACTTCTCTTGGCCTCAATCTGTTCCCTAAAGTTTACCTGCTCTGGGGCAAGGGCCAGGAACTGCACAAGCCTGGACACAGGAGTGGAACTTGAACAGCCACTAGCGCCACACGCTGGGGATGGGAGGAGAGTAATGGGTTTGCTGAATAATTAGGTTGCAAGAGTTCATAGGGGCAGATGCCTTAAGGCCAAAGGCAGGTAAAGCAGTCCTGGAAGTGGGTAAGAGATGCTCTCCAGTTCAGCCTTTGATCTCAGGCAAACGTATGTTAGGGCCCAGGTGTCCTATCTTCTAGAAATGACTTTATCCCCAAACCCTCACTCACCCTGGCCCAACATCATCTCCCCAGCTAATCTCTAAGGCCACATTGGTTTTCTCCTTCCAGCTTGAGTGAGACATCTTGGCCGCTGTCCCAGCATCCAAAGTAGCTCCTCTATGAAGTCGCCATGGAACTCCGGGGGTTTCCACCTAACTGCAGTCAGCTGGCCACACTAAGAACCAGGAAATGAGACGAAATTCCATGTGCAGAACACAGAACGGAGCATCAGAATCCATCCCATAAACCATAACAACGCAGCCATTTTTCACCCAATTGGAGACATTCTCTTTATTGGTGAAGTCGAACTTACAGCAGACAGTGACAGGAGCTACAGCACACATCGTCAGGACAAGAATGAGTACAAAATGTCCCACAGGACAAATACAGCACAGAATGCCCACCTCTCATGGAAACTATGGGAATGCCAGGGAGCCTGGTGATAAAGCAGGGTGCACCAAAACCAAAAGGCCACTGGCCCCCACAGTTGGGACAGGAAAAGAACACAGCACCTCTCTTAACATGTCTCTGCATGAGCGCCAATTCTTTGAAAAGAGGAAGGCTACACGAGCATTGTATGTGAGATGGGGATCCTATAAATCCAGACATCAGAGCAGGCCTGCACTTGGTACAGCACTACTCCCTTGGTCCATAGCACAATACAGCAGGACAGGTTGGCCGAGGGTAAATCTCTTGGGGACATGAAGTACAGATTTAAAGATATCCAGCTAACTCACATTTCGGGGTGACCTACATGTTAACTGACCACCACTCCCCAGCCCTACACCACAAAGAGAACACCAACATACAGAAAATATTTCTGCTCCGACTTCATCAATATTTTGTCACATTGTAGAACATTAAAAGTAGAGTGGTCCAATGAAATGTCATAAAAGATGCAGGTCTTTTAAATCAGTTTTACTAAACTACGTCTTAATAAGCTAAGAGGGTTTATTTTTTAAATACAAGGCTGATGGTCCTACATTTGACTGTTTGCCAGTGAGGGGTTTTTTGGCTCAGTGCTTTCATTTCCAATTCAGTGTTATCATTTCTACTTACAATAGTTCCTGCATGTATCAATATTTTTATACAGGCTAAATATGCTAAATTCTGTCCTAATAAATACACTTTTCCCTCCCTGGGAAGAAACATGAGAAAAAAAAGAGAAATACTAAGATGCGTTCTTTTAGGTAAGGAAAAGTTCAGAAAACTCCCATCTAAAAAGAATGAAAATACATTTTTTTAAAAAAACAGAGGTAGGAGGGGAGTGCATTGAGAAGAAAAAAGTCTTCTACATAAACCTCTGCACAAAAGTAGTTCTGAAAAAAGTTCCAAGCCCCACTTGAGACTAGTCCAGGCATCACCTACCAATCCCAAGGAGATTCTGATGCCCAAGAGCAGAGATAAAGATGCTGCCAGAGGAAGCAGCTCCAGTTGCCAGGGCTGCAGGGACACAGACACAGTTAACTGCGCCAGGGAAGGCACCTCCACCCACTTAGCAGCAATGCCAATATTGTCCTCTCCAGCTTTACCACTGTGGGTTTCAAAACATCAACATCTGTATCCTAATATACAGTTATATGTCAATTATTCCTTAATAAAGTTTAAAAAAACAAACTTACAGCCTCAGCTTTTATATAATTTTTCAAAGTTTGTAATATACAACTTGGTTTGCTAAATAATTAGTTTGTAAGAATTTGTAGGGGCAGATGACTTAAGGTCAAAGGCAGGTAAAACTGTCCTAGACATGGGTAGGAGGGGCTCTCCTGTTCAGCCTTTGATCTCGGGCAAACATATGTTAGCCAAGAACAGAGGCTTTTTCCTTTTCAAACACAAACAAGATTGATTTCAAAATGCCATAATTCAAGAAAAAAAGGCAGATTCTCAATGTGGCTGCTCACCTATCTCCCCTCCCCCCAAAAGAAGAGCACTTCTTAAAGATTGGGGGGGAGTCAGAGAGTTAAAAATTCTTGGGAAATTTTTAAAAATA